CACCACTACACCCAGCTAATTTTTTATATATATACATATACATATATATATATAATTTTTTTTTGTAAAGACAAGGTTTTGCCATGTTGCTCAAGTTGATCTCAGACTCCCGGGCTCAAGCCATCCACCTGAGTTGGCCTCCCAAAGTGCTGGGATTACAGGCATGAGCCACTGTGCCCAGCAATATATAACATAACTTTACCATTTTAACTATGTTTAAGTGTACAGTTCAGTGGCATTAAGTACATTCACATTAGCTTTGCAATTTCATTTGTGGCCTTTAATGATACCTTTTGAATCATATATCTACAGGGTCTGGGGAAGAGAGAGATCTTTACATCCTAAGGTATGTAAATACAACTACTGGAACTTACCAAACACAAAATTAGGAAAATAGAGAAAAATTGATTGGAGGTAAGAGAGAGAAATAAACAGAGCAGGCAAGGCCCTCCTCTCTGGCACTCGGTGAATGTGCACCCCAAGTGAACAAGAAGTGTAAACCTCAGGCACCCACAGGAACCTTCTGCTTCTAATAGTTGGGCATCTCTGCAGGCTGAGGGGGATTCTGAATTTAAGAGTATTTTGCTGTAATACTGTACCAAACACAAGTACTTCTCCAACTATTAATGCTACCTGAAAAAACAATGATCTGCCCTAATGCTAGAGGAAAAACTGGGTGAGAGTTAATAAAAGATTGGGACAGCTTGAGGCCTTCCTAAAATATTTACAAGGACAATTTTTATTATATCCAATGTTCACCTATATGCTGACCTTTGGACTTCACTCAGGTGAGATACTGTCCCCTGTACATTTGCCTAGACTGCAGTAGTAGAGCATTAACTTATACCAAAAATCATGACATTGTGGGAAAAAATGGTGAATGGGAGTATAGGAAAAGAATGACAGACAGAAAGAAGTTCTTATTAGAGAATTTATGGTTTTCCTTGTTTGTAGGACACTCCATAGCAGCACTGTCCAATAGAAACATAATGTGGGCCACAGAGCCGCTTTTTGTTTTTTTTTTTTAATTACACCAGAGCTGCCAGTTAAAGCCACATTCTTTTTTAAAGGAAAAATAAACAGGTGAAATTGGCCAGGCACGGTGCCTCACGCCTGTAATCCCAGGACTTTGGGAGGCTAAGGCCGGCAGATCACTTGAGGCCAAGGAGTTCAAGACCAGCATGTAGAGGCCAACATGGTGAAACTCTATCTCTACTAAAAATACAAAAATTAGCTGAGCGTGGTAGTGTGTGCCTGTAATCCCAGCTACTCGGGTGGCTGAAGCAAGCGAATCGCTTAAACCCGGAGGCAGAGGTTGCAGTGAGCTGAGATCGCGCCACTGAGTTCCAGTCTGGGCAATAGAGCAAAACTCTGTCTCAAAAAAAGAAAAAAAAAAAAACAGGTGAGACAAACAATATAATTCATTCAACTTAATATATATCCAGTTTTTTTTTTTTTTTCTTTTGAGACAGAGTTTCACTCTTGTTGCCCAGGCTGGAGTGCAATGGCACGATCTCGGCTCACTGCAACCTCCACCTCCCAGGTTCAAACCATTCTCCTGCCTCAGCCTCCCACGTAGCTGGAATTACAGGCATGCGCCACCACACCCAGCTAATCTTTTTGTATTTTTAGTAGAGACGGGGTTTCACCATGTTGGTCACATTGGTCTCGAACTCCTGACAACAGGTGATCCACCCGCCTCAGCCTCCCAAAAGCCACCATGCCTGGCCATATATCAAAAATATTATCAGGCTGAGCGTGGGGGCTTATGCCTGTAATCCCAGCACTTTGGGAGGTTGAGGCAGGTGGATTACAACAAGGTCAGGAGTTTGAGACCAGCCAGGCTAATATGGTGAAACCCTGTCTCTACTGAAAATACAAAAAAAATTAGCTGGGTATGGTGGCACATGCCTGTAATCCCAGCTACTCAGGAGGCTGAGGAAGAATTCCTGGAACCCAGGAGGTGGAGGTTGCAGTGAGCCAAGATCGCGCCACTATACTCCAGCCTGGGTGACAGAGCAAGACTCCATCTCAAAGAAAAAAAATATATCTATATAATCAACGTATAATCCATATAACAATTATTAATGACATATTTTACATCTTTTTTGTATTCAGTGTGTATTTTGCACTTACAATGCATCTCAATTCCAACTGACCACAAGGGTGACATGTGCACAAGGTGAAATGTGGTTAGTGACGTCTTTATTGGACAGTGCATGTCTTGAACAAAGAAATCTGTCATTTTCTGGAAAGTTTGGTCTAATGGGCTAACATTTGAGGGAAATATGTGGGAATATATGCAGTTCTATGTCAAAACTTCACCTGCCAGAGCTAACGAAGACTTCCTTGCATCCTAGATTTAAAAGTAGGCAATAGTCTGCCTGTTGACAGAGAATGCAAACCCGGACTAAACCCTATAATGCACCCTTCGCAAAGAGAAGCAATATCTCCTGAGGCAGAACATAAATCAATAGTTTCCAATTCCCCAACAAGCAGTGAATCATTATGTTTTCATAAGGATAATTCACAGTGCATTCCAATCAAGTCTTTAAATTATAGACAAGTCTATTCTTCAAGCCTCACTGCCTTCCATCCCAGAGGAGAAAACAGAAACAGCTAACAGAGAAAGCATGAAAAAGTACTCAAGTATTGAACTGTTGATTTCATTTAAAACAACAAATCCTGCTTTTTATGACCTAAAGGAATGAAAGTAGGCACTCAGTTTTTACTACTTTGAAACAAAATTGAAAAATTGAGCTGAAAGAGCTTTGAGAAAAATGAGACAGATTTTAAAATCGTGATCTCCATTCTACTAATTCTGTGCCTACATAATGCCAAAGGAAATAACTGATTTATTCATGTCCTTAGGCAGGCACTGCACACTCACACATGCACACACATGCGCACACACACCCAAAAATTTTCTGCATCTGGTGCAGAAATCTTGAGCTCAAAATTTCACATAAAAATTCTTCCAGCTGGGCATGGTGACTCATGCCTGTAATCCCAGCACTTTGGGAAGCCAAGGCAGGCAGATCACCTGAGGTCAGGAGTTCAAGATCAGGCTGATCAACATGGAGAAACCCCATCTTTTCTAAAAATACAAAATTAGCCGGGCGTGGTGGGTACATGCCTGTAATCCCAGCTACTCAGGATGCTGAGGCAGGAGAATTGCTTGAACCTGGGAGGCAGAGGTTGTGGTAAGCTGAGATTGCACCATTGCACTCCAGCTTGGGCAACAAGAGTGGAACTCCATCTGAAAAAACAAACAAACAAAAATACTCTTCCATATAGCCAGATGTGGTGGCACACACCTGTAATCCCAGCCACAGGGGTTGGGGGCTGAGGCAGGAGAATCACTTGAACCTGAGAGAAGGAGGTTGCAGTGAGCTGAGATCGTGCCACTGCATGACAGGGTGAGACTCTATCTCAAAAACAACAAAACAAAACAAAACTCTTCCATAGGTAGTGAGATTTGCAGGGCCTTGGAAATAGCAAATTGTGAAACTGACCTACTAGAAACATCTTCAAATGGCACACAGAACTCCTTTGGAAACAATTCTGCTGCATAGATGCTCAAAGTGAAAAATTACAAATCACATAAGGAGATGTCACCGAGAGACACTAAAGAGGGAGAGGCAGAAATAACAAACAAGAATATACCCTGAAAACTCAAAATAGTAGAACAATCTACAGAGATGTTTAAAGAAGTTTCTCTAAAATGTTTAAGGAATGGATACCTTAGGGCATAAACAGGGCACTATATTTAAAAGTACCAATGTGGTAAAAGGACCAATTAGAAATTTCAGAAGTAAAAAAATATAATCACTGTGCGCCAGGCGCAGTGGCTCACGCCTGTAATGCCAGCACTTTGGGAGGCCAAGGCAGGCAGATCACTTGAGGTCAGGAGTTTGAGACCAGCCTGACCAACATGGCGAAACTCTGTCTCTACTGAAAATACAAAAATTAGCCAGGCATGGTGGCAGGCACCTGTAATCCTAACTACTTGGGAGGTTGAGGCATGAGAATCACTGAAACTGGGAGGCAGAGTTCGCAGTGAGCCGAGATTGCACCACAGCACTCCAGCCTGGGCAACAGAGCGAGATTCCGTCTCAAAAATCATCATCATCATCATCACCACCATCATTGTGAAAAGCACTTAACAGACAAATTACATAGTATATTAGACACTGCTAAAGCAAAATTAATGAATTGAAAACTGGATTTTAAAAAATCATCCAAAATGCAGCAAAATAGATAACAAGATAAGGAAACTTAAAAAGCCAGAGATGTGGAGAATAAAATGAGAAGACCCCACATATATCCAATAGAAGTTACAAATAAATAAAATAAAGGAGAGGAAATACTTGGAGAAGTAATGAGTGAAATGTTAAATATTTGATTTTTCAAACTGAAGTCTCCTAGCCAAACGAAAATAACAACACATCTCACCTAAACACATTGAAGTAGAATTATACAACATCAAAGTCAAAGAGAAAAATCTTAAAGTTACCAGAGATAATAAAGCTTATCTTACAAAGGCATGACTATTATTAGACTTAGCAGACTTCTAATGAGCAACAGTAGATGGCAGACTATGGACTCTCACCTCCCAAATGCTGAGGAACAGTAACAGAATCAAACACTTTTACACTCTCCCTCAAGACATTTCCAGACATAACAAAGATTAAGTACTTTGGGAGGCCAAGGTGGGTGGGTCACTTGAGCTCTGGAGTTTCAGACCAGCCTGGGCAATGTGGCAAAACCCTGTCTCTACAAAAAAATACGAAAAATCAGCCAGGCATGGTAGCATGCTTTTGTAATCTCACCTACTTGGGGGCTGAGGCAGGAGGATGGCTTAAGCCCAAAAGGCAGAGGCTGCAAGTGAGCCGTGCTCACACCACTGCACTCCAGTCTGTGCCCTGTATGACAAAGTGAGACCCTAGCTGGAAAAAAAAAAAAAAAAAAAAAAAAATTGAGTTTATTTTTTAAAAAGGATTTTTTTTTTTTGCATCACAAATTTGTGTGTCATTCTTTCACAGGGACCACGCTAATCTTTGTATTGTTCTAATTTTGGTATATGTGCTGCCAAAGTTAGCTTTTTACAGTTTGCTTTTTACAGATTCTTGCTGAAAGAGCTGTTCAAGGATATGTTCAGAAAGAAAGAAATTGAACTCCAAAGAAAAAAGTGGAAGCCAAGTGCAATTGTGAGCAAAGGAACTAGTAAACATATTGGTAAATCTGCTAATAGCTTAAAGAAAATATCACTAGCTGATAATGTCTTAGGAATTAAAATAAAAAACCAAAAGAGAAGAAAATATCCGGACAGATGCACACAGTTGTAAAATCATCCTACGATGCAAAAAGTTACTTTAAACAGTATTTCATAAATATATATTCTTTCAACAAGGAGACAAGTGCTAAATAGCATCCAATTAAAAGTGTATTCTGGGCCAGGCATGGTGGCTCACACCTGTAATCCCAGCAGTTTGGGAGGCTGAGGCGGGCAGATCACCTGAGGTCAGGAGTTCGAGACCAGCCCGGCCAACATGGTGAAACCCTGTCTCTACTAAAAATACAAAAATTAGCCAGGCGTGGTGATACGAACCTGTAATCCCAGCTGCTCTGGAGGCTGAGACAGAAGAATCACTTGAACCAGGGAGGCAGAGGTTGCAGTGAGCCAAGATCGTGTCACTGCACTCCAGTTTGGCAAACAGAATAAGACTCCGTCTCAAAAAAAAAAAAAAAAGTATATTCTTTGGCAAAAGCCTGAAGAATGATGTTATTTGATGTTTTAGATTGTCTGATTTTTATTGCTTTATCCTTTTTTTTTTTTTTTTAATGTGGGCCAGATGCAGTGGGTCATGCCTGTAATCACAGCACTTTGGGAGGATGAGGCAGGAGGATCCCTTGAGGCCAGGAGTTTGAGACCAGCTTGGGAAACACAGGGAGACCTGAGCTCCGCAGAAAATTTAAAAATTAACCAGGTATGGTAGTGTACCCCTGTAGTCCCAGCTATTTAAGAGGCTGATGTGGGAGGATCACTTGTGCCCAGGAGGTTGAGGCTGCAATGAACTGTGCCTACACCACTGCACTCCAGCCTGGGCAACAGAGTGAGACCCTGTCTCAAATAAATAACTAAATAAACAAGTAGGCTGAGTGCAGTAGCTCACACCTGTAATCCTAGCACTTTGGGAGGCCAAGGCAGGTGGATCATCTGAGGTCAGGAGTTCGAGACCAGCCTGGCCAACATGGTAAAACCCCACCTCTACTAAAAAATACAAAAATTAGCCAGGCATGGTGGCACATGCCTGTAGTCCCAGCTACTTGGGAGGCTGAGGCAGGAGAATCGCTTGAACCCAGGAGGCAGAGGTTGCAGTCAGCCAAGATTGCGCCATTGCACTCCAGCCTGGGTGACAGAGCAAGACTCCATCTCAAAAACAAACAAAAAAAACAAGTAAATAAAATGTGGCAGTCAAAGGACAGTAGCTAAGAACACCCACCAAGTATTGAGCACAAAGACAAATCACACAAGCTATTTTACTCAGTTTTCTTGTCACTAATGTGGGGGATTAGAGACATTTTAACAGGATTGCCATGAGGACTGAATGGGATTATCCATGTGAAAGTGTAGTCGATAGCACAGTAGCCTGAATTGATTAAAAAAACAGTGTCTTTGGGATGTCAATGATTATGGGGGTGGAAGTGAGGGAGGGACATTCAATAATTCTAAACAGAAATAATCATGGCTGCTCAGTAGTGCAAGGGAGAGCTACTTCAGCTCAGACCCCACCAGGGTATGATTTTTCTTTCCAAAGGAATTTTCCTTTCTTTTTCTTTTTTTCTTTTTTTTGAAGCAGAGTCTTACTTTGTCACCCAGGCTGTAGTGCATTGGCACGATCTCAGCTCAATGTAGCCTCAACTTCCTGGGCTCCAGTGATCCTCCCACCCCAGCTTCTCAAGTAGCTGGAACCACAGGCACACACCAATATGCCGGCTAATTTTTGTTGTTGTTGTTGTTGTGTTTTTTTTTTGTTTTTTTTTTTTGTTTGTTTTTTTGAGATGGAGTCTCGCTCTGTTGCCCAGGCTGGAGTGCAGTGGCACAGTCTCGGCTCACTGCAACCTCTGCTTCCCAGGTTCAAGCGATTCTCATGGCTGCCTCCTGAGTGCTGCCTCCCAAAGTGCTGCCTCCCAGACTGCTGGGATTACAGGCATGAGCCATCATTCCCTGCAGAAAGGAATTTTGCTTTTTTTTTTTTCAGAGACAAGGTCTCACTCTGTTGCCCAGGCTGGACTCAAACTCCTGGGCTCAAGGATCCTCCCACCTCATCTTCTTGCACTCAGCCAAAGGAATTTGAGAAGTACACAAAGCACTCAGTTTAGATGACCCAAGCCTAGAGATATGAGTAAGTTGGAGGAAGGAAGGAAAACATATTTTTATCCACCTCATAGGGTTATTACGAGGACACAGCAAACATAATGTTAGCTATTATTATTATTATTATTAGAATGGAGTAAATATTGCATTGTTTGAGAAAAACAAAACTAAGTATATATGAAAGGCACAAATGTCCACTTATAGAACTTTAAAAAATCTTTTTTTATCTTTTGAGACACAGTCTCACTCTGTCACCCAGGCTGGAGTGCAGTAGCGTGATCTTGGCTCACTGCAACCTCCACCTCCTAGGGTTCAAGAAATTTTTATGCCTCAGCCTCCCTAGTACCTGGGATTACAGGCACACGCCACCATGCCCTGCTAATTTTTTGTATTTTTAGTAGAGACGGGGTTTCACCATGTTGGCCAGGCTGGTCTCGAACTCCTGACCTCAAAGTGATCTACCCAGCTTGGCCTCCCAAAGTGCTGGGATTACAGGCGTGAGCCACCGCACCCGGCCTAGAACTTTTTTAAAGCAGGTAAAATCCTCTCAAAATTACCAGAAGAAAAAAAAATCTGAAGAACACATACTTTACTGAAAGACAGAAAACAATATATGCCAAGCAAACGTAACAATAGAAAACCAAACAGACAGAATTAAAGTCACATCTAACAATCACAATTATGTGAATGAAATAAACTAAGTTATTGAAAGAAAAATATTTAAGTTGGTACAAAAACAGAATCAGACTATAAGACCCATATCTAAAATCAGAAATCAATAAAACTCAATGTGGTTGACAGTGGGGCAAACAAGTCCTTAAATCCAGTGTTGGTTGGAGTAAAATTTCCAGAAGACAGTTAGGTAACTGTATTATAAAATGGACACACCATTGTATTGAACTAGTCCACTTCTAGAAATTACCGTGAGAAGAAAACTGCACAAAAGCAGAACACAGGATGTTTTTCACATGTAGTTTACAGTATCAAACAATGCAAACAACTGAAATGGCCAACAATAGAAGAAGGGTTGCATAAATCATGGTTTGTAAATATTACAAATAGCTGTTGATCATTAACAATCATGGTGTTAGTCTACGGTTATTGACTTGGAAATCTACCCATTGCATATTTTCAGTAAAAGTAGCAATTACAGAATAACATATAAATTATCATCTCATGTATGTGAAACTATATTCATATACCTGTAGGTATATGTACTGCATAAAGATGTCTAAAGGATATTCACCAAAATTGGTATGGATGCTATGGGCAGTGGGATTTTGGTGGCGACTTTTATTTCCTTCTTATGTTGGGTAAAAAACACTGGTCGTGGGAAACCCATTTTTCTGTATGTGTCTAAAAATGCATAAGCCTTTAAAATGACTTGATCAGCCTCCCAAGATCCCATATGTCTGTGTGCTTCGTTCGTCATTCTCTTAAAGATAAGCTTTAAAGAGGGGAACACAACTGGCAGCTATCAGGAGAGCCATGCCCTGACTGGCTTCCTGCTCGAAATGACCAACATGGGCTAGTTACATAGATCCAGGACCATGCCATCTGTAGGGCAGGATTGAAAGCCACTCCTAGGACTAGAATGGAAGAGTTACTGAATATAGGCCCTTCTCTGCTTATATAGTTATGTACATTTGTTTGTTTGTTTGCTTGTTTGTTTAATCTGCCAACCCCATTCCCAGAGCACCTGGTTTGGGATGATGGCATTCATTCCTTTTTTTTTTTTTTTTTTTTGGGGTTGAATCTCGCTCTGTGGCCCAGGCTGGAGTGTAGTGGTGCAATCTCGGCTCACTGCAACCTCCGCCTCTTGGGTTCAAGCAGTTCTGTCTCAGCGTCCCGAGTAGCTGGGATTACAGGCACATGCCACCACGTCTGGCTAATGTTTCTATTTTTAGTGGAGATGGGGTTTCACCACATTGGTCAGACTAGTTTCGAACTCCTGACCTTAGGTGATCTACCTGCCTTGGCCTCCCAAAGTGCTGAGATTATAGGTGTGAGCCACAGCATCTGACCATGGTATGTATGTACTTATTTATGTAGAATTTTTCCAGCTGGGCATGGTGGCTCACGCCTGTAATCCCAGCACTTAGGGAGGCTGAGGTAGGCAGATCATGAGGTCAGGAGTTCGAGACCAGTCTGACCAACAAGGTGAAACCCCATCTCTACTAAAAATACAAAGCCGGGCGTGGTGGCTCACACCTGTAATCCCAGCACTTTGGGAGGCTGAGGTGGGCGGATCACCTGAGGTCGGGAGTTCGAGACCACCCTGACCAAACATGGAGTAACCCCGTCTCTACTAAAAATACAAAATTAGCTAGGCGTGGTGGTGCATGCCTGTAATCCCAGCTACTTGGGAGGCTAAGGCAGGAGAATCGCTTGAACCTGGGAGGCAGAGGTTGCAGTGAGCCAAAATCGCACCATTGAGCTCCAGCCTGGGCAACAAGAGTGAAACTCCATCTCAAAAACAAAAAACAAAAAACAAAACAAAAAAATTACCCAGGCTTGGTGGCACACGCCTGTAATCCCAGCTACTCGGGAGGCGAGGCGGGAGAATCGCTTGAACCCAGGAGGCGGAGGTTGCACTGAGCCGAGATCATGCCACTGCACTCCAGCCTGGGCCACAGAGCAAGACTCTGTCTCAAAAAAAAAGAAAAAAAAGAAAAAAAAAATTTCCATAGCTTCCATAATGTCTATGATAAAGCAAGTATGAA